CAGGAACAGCTTGGACACTCATGTCAGCATCCAGCATGCCAGTAGCTCAGCCTTAGCCAATTTCAGTCAGTCACGGCATGGTGGCACTGATGACAGTGTTGTGTGTACACTGTTCTTTTGTGTTTGGAGAGCATTGGCTTGAAAATACAATAAACTGATTGATTCTGGACTGTACAAGAGAGTTCATTTGTGTTCAGTAAACACATCAATCCCGCCACTGACTGAAACCAGTTGATCACAACTGAAAACTACTGACAGAATATGTTTGTGTCACAACGGGACTGAACGGACTCACGCGCAGGCTCTAGGTCTTGAAAGCACAAGAGTCTTTATTACAATACACCAGGTGATCTATTTACAACGGTGAGGGGAAAGCCGGGCTCCGGGGGTCCACACACGAACGGGAAAGACGCCGGAAGTCACACACACACTCCGTCCACTCCTCACGCTCCTCTTCACACTCCAATCACTCAGGTAACACAGGGGTTGGTCCAGGGAATCTGTACACAGAGACACGAAGGGATTATAAAGGCAAATCGCTTAGAAAACACTCTCGAGGTAACTGAGCTGGGGTTACACTGACGAGGGTCGGCAACGGTCCAGCGACGAGAAACACAGGGTTTAAATACACTGGGAAGTAACGAGGGGAATGAGACACAGAAGGAGGGCACAGCTGGGAGAATAATCAGGACTGACGAGACAAGCAAAGCAGGACGCATTCACATAAGACACGGACCTTCAAAGTAAAACAGGAAGTATGACACAGAGACGCGAACTTGACACGGTGGAGACAGCAACTAAGAAACACAGAGACATAAACCATAAGGCAGAGGACTCTAAGAACCGAAAGACACAGAGGGAAACTCAAACATGCAGACACAGATTTACACAGAACAGAGGGGAGACAGAGAAACATGAAGGGCAAGGGATCGAACCTAGAAACCATAGAATAACTCACACAAGTACAATAATACAAAAATCACAAAGAAGTAAACATGCAGGGTCAGGAGACCCAGAACCCTGACAGTTTGGGTATTTAAGAGATTAAAATGTTGTACTAACAGAAAATGCAGTCATGACTTAAAGCTTGCATTGCCTATTTGTTTTTGTGTTTTGTTTGGGAGTTTCGACTACTATATGTTGAAGCATTAATAAGTGTATGTTACTGGCCTGTATGTTTTGCATCTTCGAATGATTCTTATTGTTGGAAATGTGGCTTTTTGCAACAGCATCAAATGCATTGAAGGGCTGAGAAATCTCTGAAATATTCAAAAACTATTTTCTTCTATTTACTGTGTTATCTTTCTTTATTTATAAAGTTTAGGATCATCCAGAAAATTTTCATGAAAACTCAAACTTCATCACATGATTTGCAGTGTGAATAGAAATTATAATTGGCATTCAGTTTAGGTCATCTGGACACATTTCATTCCATCCTGAAACAGCTCCCATGAACTGACTTGGTTGATGGGCACTTAAAAAGGGATGTGGTGGCTGTTCTGTTCACCGAACGTGCAGAGAAAATAAAAGCAAACTGTTTCTTTTCTAAATAGTTTTTGCGGAGGAAGTTGTAGTTTGGGTCTTTTTATTTATTCTTCTGTTCACAAATTGTTTTGGGGTTTGTTTGTTTTTTCACCCAAAGAGATCTCATTTTGATCAGCCTGTCTCTGCAGGGTTTTTTAATCTTCTTATGCTCAGTGTCTAGGTTTTATTTTTCATTTTATTTTATTTTCATATTGCCTAGTCTCAGATATGCAGCATCATTTTTAAGACTCAGATATTTCTTCCAGGAGTCGCCTCTTTACTGTTAGCGTGTTTTGCAGGCATCTTTTAATGAATCTGCTGATTGAGGACCTGTGAGGCGCCTGTTTGTCAAACTAGAAACTTTTATGTACATACATGTCTTTCTCAGTTGTACTGGAAACTCCCAGCTCTCTTTCTGTGTTGGTTAGATTTAGTCTGTGTTGTTATCTCACTGGAGTAATACACACCATTACATTTAGTTTTTGTGGCAGTTTTTCCACATGAATTTGTCTCTATTTCTTAAAAGTTTGAGTTTTACTGTTTTTTTGGGGGACAATTTTAGACTGTAATAACATCCAAATGCTGAAGCCTGAGTCGCTCAACTAGTACAATGTTTAGAGGTTGTTTAGTTTTCAGCTGTGCTAACTTATTTGATTCATAAAAAATTATTTTTTAACCTAATAAACTCGCATTAGTTTTGAACAGTTTTGCACTAGAGCACAGGTTTGATGGTTTCCTGAAAATGGGCTCGGGTATGCCTATGTAGATATTCTATTAAAATTAAATTAAATGTTATTAAAAAACAAATATGCGTTTGCTTCTGAATGAACGAAAGTTACTGAGCGATTATATTTTAATAACAGTGTCGACGTCTGACTAATTATTTATCCTGTGGCAATACCGAACATATAAAATGTGCTTTTGTGATGCTGATTACCTCCTGATTAGCTTTTGAGTTTAACTACATTTAGGTGAAGTACTGATGCAAACAATTACATAATTTATTTGAATTTTGGAATGACGTTTTTTAAGTGATTTTCCTGTGTTGGGATTATTAGTTCAAGTTTGTTTTTTAGGTTAGACTGAATTGTGATTTGAATACATTACAAGGGGATAATAGTACAGTCGACCCTGGTATTTACAGGGGATAGGGACCACAAGCTCCCGTGAATAGCTGAAATCCTCAAATACTTGAGACCTTCTCTTAAAATGCTGATATTTCAGCTTCCCAAGCTGCATTTTCTTTCCCGGGAGCTTTGTGTTTGGAATTTCGACATTTTATTGATATTTTGCTGTGTTTTGATTAATATGATTATTTGAAAATTAGTAAATAATTTTTCTATCATAAAAATTTAATTAGTCACGAAAATAAAATTAAAATGATTAGCAAATATTTTAGATATGCCCTACGAAAAAAATCTGTGAATACTGAACTGCGAATAGGCGGGGGTCGATTGTAGAGACCATTGCTCAGTCCATGCCATCCTTGTCTCTTGTCATCATTACTTCAGCACATTGCTATAAATTGACAACAGTTGACCACAGATAAAACCACAGGCTGAGGATGGCAGTTTCACTGTTGGCTGTGTTCCACACGTCATTATTGACAAGCAGGTACAGCTCACTCTGTGTGTTCAGCAACAAAAGCCTTAATAGCCCTGGGTACAATAGAGCTGGTTCACTTGACTCTGACAGAAGAAACTTATCCTGGCTGGTGTGAATTAGTATAGCTACAGGCTTCAAGAGGTCATTTAGGGTTTTCCTCACTTTGAAAATACAAAAACAATATAGCCTTACAGTAAGCATTCAAGAGATCTAATTACAATTTTCATGTCATTTAGCAAGATATTTGAATGTTTTTGTTGGTTTGGGTTTTTTTCTGTTTTAAGTAAACATGAAAAGAATCTTTGAAAGTAACTGTGTCATTGAGGTTATTTTTATGATTTTAAGTGAACAATTTATCTGTTATAGTTTTGCAACAAGATCTGCAAAAGATGGCAGCAAAAAATACAAATAAATGTGTCAGATTTATTCAGAAATGTTCAGGCTGTCAGGAAAGAAAAGAAATTTGGAGAAGAAAACAAAAAGGGAAAGCTCCAGGCAAAAGAAAACAAAATGAAGAATACAAACAGAGAGATGAAAAATGAAAAGAGCACAAAATAAAAATGGCACAATAGATGTACTTGTTGGATACAAATCTAACCTCTCAGAGTGGGCTTTGCATCTGACATCAAAATGACATTTTGTGTTTTCAGTGCCAGACTCTATCATTATGTTCAGTGACTGACAATGTTATTGAAGCCTAGCTTTTAGTAGCGCTCTGGGTGGGTGGAAGTTAAAATGTTCCTATTAGGAAGTCTAGTCGCTGAGTCTGGATCCTCTCTGACCTGCATTGAACTCATCGGGATGAATCCTGAAACAAGTGTGTGCGTGACATGTGTGTTTGCTGTTTCCAGGGAGCAATCTGTTACCGCTGCTGCCTCACCACAAAGAGTTTAAACGCCATTTTATAGCCTTACTGAGCGAAGTGCACACATCTGTTCCTTTCCTTGTTCCGATCACAATCTCTTTCACATGTGCAATCTCTTAAACATGTGCACAGAGCACATAAATATAGCCTGTACTGATAAAAGGACACCTTCAGCCATTCTGTACCATTCACATGCACACAGCCGTCCTCCTTTTTTGTTCATGTTTATTCTGGTTTGTGGGTTTTGGCAGATTTAGAAACCTTAATGGAAAGAGAAACCTTTTTAGCTACATTAGTGAGCCTCGAAGGATGGCAAACTCTGCAAGCTGGTTTCTGGCAGCTGCTTTTGTCCAAATAACTAACTACTATTTTGTCCATCTGAAGGTCCAGAATATAAAGCCAGTTCTCTTACGAAATGGGTTTCTTTATGAATGATGTCTGATTTCCAAAAGCCTTTTCAGTTTACTTGGCACCATGTTAGTATTAGACTTTTCCAGACATGTTACTTACTCGGATTGAAAGCTGTTGTAGGTCACCAGAGGTCAACAGAACTAATATTTAGGATACCTTTGATGAAGACAGGTGGACACTGTTGGGCATGGAAGTACTTTGTGCTGTTATCCTAAAGTAACTGGCAACAGCGTAATGTTTTAATCAAGACGTTTGTGTTTAAGTACATGCAATAATCACTTTGTTTTGGTGTCAAATTGCGTATCAAGACTCATTAATTCAGCTGGTAGTCTCACTAGCAATTACATTTCTAATATCATGACAGCATTAGGCTGATTGTTGGTATTTATTTAAGTCGATTTTGCGATAGTTTGCACTGACAGTTGTTTTTGTATCCTCTTTGCTAGCTTTGATGTATTACACTGTAATATTTCTGACTATCCAGCAATCTTTAATCATTCCATTATTTTCTTTTAAAGCCATCATCTTGTCAAGTGTTAAGTTTATTCAACACTTTGTATTGTGAACGTATATCTTAGCTGTGTCTTGTGCAGAGCACTAACAGTGATTCTAGCACGTTTACCATGAGTGTATTTTAACATTTAGCTCAAAGTACCACTATGATTCAGTAGAACCTCTCAGAGCTGCTGTACACTCGGGCTTGTTTAAACATCACCAGCAATCATAGTGTACCAATGGAAAAAAAATAACGGAACAACCACCCAGCTGTCAGTGGCAGTAAAAGCATCCTCTTGTTAGCGTTTGTGGGTTCGTCTGCTCGACAAATAAAAAGCATCTTTAACATTTCCAACCCACTGACAGATTGTCGTCCAGTGGTCACTTTCCAGGATGTAACTTCCTACACTGGGTTTTTATGTGGCTGTGGGCCTTCACGCTCACGCCATTACTGTCAGTTCAGAGAAGTCACTTCAATTCTGCTTTCATGAAAAAGAGCACTGACGTTAATTTGATGACAGCTTGCCACCCAACAAGTAGAGGTTACTTAATGACAAGTTGCTGAAAATGTAGCACTTGATGTTTTTGTACCAGGTTTCAGTCTATGCAGGAGGCCTGAAAGGCTGAATGAAGCCTTTTCCATGGATGTAATAATTTCCACAGTTAATGTGTGTCTGTAACCTAGCTTTTTGATCTTTATTGCAGGTCCATTCATATATATTTATACATATATTCTGTTTGTTATTAGATCTACAATGAGATGATCCGTGACCTGCTGAATCCATCCTCAGGCTTCTTAGACCTAAGAGAAGATTCTAAGGGAGTTATTCAGGTTGCTGGAATCACAGAGGTGTCCACCATCAATGCTCAAGAGGTGAGTTTGTTTACCTTACCAAGCACTACATGACCCATTTATTTCAATCAAAACACTCAGAAATTACAAAGACCAGAAATAACTCACATCTGTGTTTTTCTAGATCATGGAGCTCCTCATGAAGGGCAACAAACAGCGCACCCAGGAGCCAACAGCCGCCAATCAGACATCATCTCGCTCCCACGCTGTGCTGCAAGTAGCTGTCAAACAGCAGAGCCGCTGTCGTGACGTTCTGCAGGAGGTCCGCTTTGCACGCCTCTTTATGATTGACCTCGCTGGCTCCGAACGAGCAGCACAGGTGTGTGTACATATATATATATATATATATATATATTTATATATGTATATATTTATTCAGAGGGAGTGAGTGTGGGTGAAGCTACTTTTATCAAGTGCTTACCCACCAAAGTCAAGTTTCAAGGCTGTGGCTAATGTGATGTGTCTGTATACAGTACAAGGGTTTGCTCCATGAGTCGTGTCTCCATGGGGAACAATGAATGATTTCTTCAGAGGATGGAGGTTACCATAAATCTTAGGAGACTTGTAATATAATCTGAGTCCCTTGATCCAGTAGGATATGTCCACCAGTGGCCACCAGCTTTTGTTTTTTCATTTTAACATATATTTGTGACACGATACCTGCAACCTCTACCTAAGTAGAGTCAAATACAGTTCATAGTGGACTTAAATTTGACAGGTGGTCAGAAACATGAATCCCATAACTGTGTTAATTGTATCACAACTCATTTCTTTTCATAAATGAAATCTGATGTCTGCACTGAAAATACTGTTTTGTTTTCCAGGAATTTATGAAAAATGTTTTAGATATTTCTACAGAAAACTAACACAAAATAAAGAATTGGAAGATGACATATTAAAGCACATTCTTTACAAAGAAAATAAGAATGACAGATATAAAAGCGAAGAGCAGTCCATGGAATTTCTTTTTAGTATTGTCACACTGGTATTTGTCAGTACAGCGATGAAGAGAATTTGCGAGCCAATTCATTTTCTGGGTTGTATTATCGCCTTGACCTTCTCTTTGCAAGCGGTTAAGTGAGAAAAACTCAAGTATTTGTTCAGTTGTTTTCTTTTTTCTTTTTGGCAGGTTGAGACTGCTTTATTCCTTCATTTGAATAGCTTGTCACTGATGCTCATTTTACCACAGGCTTGTTGTTCTTCACCATGAGATAATCATGCGGTCAGGCTGTGAGAGCACTTATTTGCCATGGAGACTATTTGAATGATTCAAAGGCATAATATTGATGAGTTGCGCATTACAAGGTTGAGCATACCTCACAGGTGTTAGTCACATGAAGCTGCAACGAACATTTTCTCTCCCCGTAAACAAGAGGCATCCATGTAGTTGGTAAAAGGTGAGGTTGTGTTATTTTAGTACTAGATGGACCAAGCATTGAGCTAATGCCATCTATTGGTCAGGAGTGGAAACATGTCAACTACACCACCAAAAGAAACAGCCAACAATAGCTTACTAATGTTGACACTCCCCTGGTGTCTGGAGGCTGTAAAACCTGTGAAAACATAGCTTAAATATCGGCATCATTAATGAATCCTCTATTTAGCATAACTTATTAATTTAAAAGGTTTAAACTGTGTTAATCTGTTGATACTTATTCAGTTTTTTTTGTCAGTGCCACCCAAAAGTAAGTGTTATCATAATATTAGTTATATTATTATTATTATTATTATATTACTTAAATGACCTTCAGAGCAGTAAAAGAAAAGGGGGAATATTTTCCTTTTTTAAAAGCATATTTAAAGTTTTCTCATTTCTCATCCATTTTTATTTTATTTTATCAGACTCAAAATAGAGGTCAGCGTTTGAAGGAAGGGGCCCACATCAACCGTTCCCTCCTGGCTTTGGGCAACTGCATTAACGCCCTGAGTGACAAAAATGGTAACAAGTATGTCAACTATCGAGACAGCAAGTTGACTCGTCTCCTGAAGGTCAGTCCTCTAAAGGTTTATATGGGACCAACTGTGTTGATGATTTAGATGTTTTTTGTGTGTGTATTTATATTTATCATTCTTTTTTTTTAAACAAAAGGACTCCTTGGGCGGAAACAGCCGAACGGTCATGATAGCCCATATTAGCCCTGCCTCTGTAGCTTTTGAGGAGTCTCGTAACACACTGACATATGCAGACCGTGCCAAAAGTATTCGAACACGGGTGAGCTGAGTAATATTTTATATGTCTCAGTATTGCTTCACTCTAGCAGAAGTTAAATAAATTATTGTAGCTTCAACTCAACTTTCTGCAGTTAGAAATCCAACTTCTATTGTATAATTCATATATCCAAAGTATATCTCAATTATTCTTTTTCACCTTTGTCCTTTAGGTGAAGAAGAACATGATAAATGTGTCATACCACATTGCTCAGTACACCAATATCATCTCAGACCTGCGCTGCGAGATCGAGAGGCTGAAAAAGAAGATTGCAGAACAGGCGAGTCGACAGCTCAATTCTGACCGAGCTGACATCCGCAATGTTCAGGGTAAGGTCTCGCACTCACTGCTGACTTTAATATTTGAAAAATACCTGCTTTTTGAGCTCTTTGAGTCTAATCTCCATCCCTTCCCTTGTAGCAGAGGTCCAGGCCCACTCCAGCCAGCAGAGTCGAGAGGAGATGGATCTGTTGAGGGAGCAGCTTTTGGATGCCTTCCGCCAACAGATGCAGATCAGGAAGAGCCTGATGGAGCTGGAAAACAACAACATGGAGATCCAGATTGCCACCTCTAACAATCTTTTAACTATTACAGAGTCAGTGTCAAGCCTTTTTGTCATGTTTCTCCCTTCTTTATCCAACAGTATTTATCCAGTATTTCTCTTTGTAACATTATTAAATCCAGCTATTTGATAATATGTTGAAAACTCACAGCATGTCTTTGTCGTGCTTAAAGTGTCAGTGTTTGTGGATTATATAAATATAAATTATTGTAAGTCTGATCAAAAAAACAAAAAACCCACAAATCAAATGTAATAATGAATTTTATTGGCCGCATATTTTTTTTAAAAAAAAAAACAGAGGACTTTTTCAACTATGTACTTTCAAATGTGCCTTAATTAACCAGATATTATTGTCTCTGTCAGTGACAAAGTGTAATTTTCTTCTCTTAGCTGGGAACAGGAGCGCAGCAGGCGCAGGAGAAAGTGGCGTGCGGAGAGGAGGAAGGAAAGTGTCAATAAGGATGAAAGCGAGAAGGACTCTGATTCCTCAGAGTCTCCTCCAGACACCACGGAGACTCAGGAGGTGGCAATAGCTCGAGAAAATCTGGTTGCACTCATGGCTGAACAGAAAAAGATTCACAAGGAGAAGGTGGGAATGTCTGTCTACAACTAGAAAAAATAGCAGAAAACAGAATCGTTCTTATAAAACCTTTGACTGTAGTGCATACATAATATTTTTAGTGTCTGAAATACAGTCTGCTTTTTAAAAATGTGCCTTTATACCTTTTGTTTAAAGGCGTTGCTTGAGCGTAGGTTTCTGGAGCTTCGGGATCAGGCCCGGCGCTTGGAGGAGCTGCTGCCGCGGCGGGTTAGCTCAGAGGAGCAACGCGAGGTCCTAGGACTTCTCTGTAAGGTCCACGAGCTGGAGATTGAGAACGCAGAGATGCAGTCCCACGCTCTGCTCAAAGACAACGTGATCCGACAGAAAAACTTTGTGGTGCAGCGTTTTGAACAGCACAGACACCTGTGTGACGAAATTATTCAGCAGCAGAGACAGTTCATTGATGGTGAGTATGTGAGCATTATGACTCACATAGTTTGTTAAAAACAAACATCATCTAAATACATATAGCACTGCTAACTGGGTTATTAGGCCCTTTACAGTTGAATATCAATGACGTGAAATGAGGTTACTTTGCACCAGACAAATAGACAATTGAATAATCATGAAGCTCATTTTTGATTTGTTTTTTTTATTAAATTAATTCCTGCTTTAAAGACATTAATTATCCTCCGTGTTACAGACCACAGTCTGCCCGTACCTCCACACCTCCAGGAGCTGTATGATATGTACATGAGGGAACTAGATGATAGGAAACTGGAGAAAGCAATTGGCCTAGAAAAGGTGACAATCAGGCAGACCATCAAGGTAACCACAGCTGACACGTAAAGTCTAAACTAAGTGATACTATAGTAGTATTAAGCCTAGAAGAACACAAGGTACAACTAACTCCTATGTGCTTACTTCCAGGAGGTCTCCCTACCTAAAATCGCCTTGCCTTCTCACGGTCGTGACAACATGCAGGACATAGATTCAGACCAGGAGAGCATACGTAACATGTGCTCAGATAACAGGCGAGGTCAAGCCAAAATACGCAGACATACCCTGCCTCCCATTCTGCCTGAACCTGATCTGTAAGAGGACATCTTTTTCATGTGTGCCTTAAAGCTTTTTAACTCGTTACACTGTCTGGATACATACTGTAGGTTCTCAGTTTTGTTCTCTTATTCCCCGCTTTAGGGACAATAACAGAGTTTTCAAGAGCAGCCCTCATGCCAGGCAAATGAAAAATTCAGCAGTAATGACCCCACCTCCCATCCACATTAATGGGAAGGGCAACAGAGAGGTCAGCACAACTATAATACCATCTGGTTTTGTTCATTTTGCTTTATCAGCTGTGAGAAAATGCAGAAGAGCTTCTCTTCACATGGCTTCGTATTTGAATTTCACTCTCAGAGATACTTCACTCTATTAATCCCTTTGTTTTTCAACATTCGCCTGTCCATAATAAAATGTTCACTATTGACTCCTATGTTCAGGCTTTTTTTGCTAAGCTTACCATAGAATTACATCTTTGTTTCATCACCTCCAGCTCATTATTTTTTCCTGTGTAAATGCATCTGAGAGATGTGATTCATTGGCAAGATAAAGTTATGTTCACCAGAGTCCACCAGAGCCCCATTCAGAATTAAAATTTCATTTTGGAGAGCCATAGAATTGATTAATCTTCACTGACACTCAGACAGACCGACTGAAAGCAAAGTACCACAGTGAATGTCATATCGTAATGTGGCACTCTGCATCTCACGTCTGCAGCTGCAGCCTCTGGCTCCTGAGAGCTTTCTGAGTTACAGCCATCTCAGCCACAGTGTCAGCAGCCACCTGGACTCATCACCTGAGAGCAGCGAGGCAGGGGCCGATATCCCCCTCTCAATAAATGGTACGATATTCAAATGAGGACATATGAACTTTGGGGAATTTTAACAGGGTTTTTAACTACAGTTTAAATACAGGGGGAGTATTTAAATGCAAGGTAACAGAAAATCAATAAACCCTTGAGTTTGATGATTGTTTGTTTCCACGATGTAAAATTTTTTTTAAAGCACTTTACATCAGTGCTCAGGATGAAGCCTTCAGATTTCACGGTGACCTAGAAGTGTATTTTTTGAAGCAGGACACAAGAAATATTCTGCAGATCTCCTTCATGTTTAATATGAGCGATTGATTTTCAGTTATAACAATTAAATCAGTGCTAATGGGGGAAACGTAGTGTTTCTCTGTTAACAAGCTTTCTTTCTGTTGTGTGAATGGAGATTAAAAATAACAGTGAAAAGAAATTACCTGTGTCTCCACAGAACGGCAGCAGATTTTAAAGGGGGTCCAGAACATTGCAGTAAAAGCAGCACGTCGGCGCTCCAAAGCGCTCGAGGTGGATGTCTTGCGTTTACCTCCTGCACCATCTCCCCTGGACCCCAAGAAGCAGAAGAGCAACCTATCTTTAAGCGAAGCTCCCCCTAGAGGTTTGCCAATGAGGCGCGTCAGGCAGCCCAGCCCCGAGCTGAGACACGCCACTTCAGACGATAACCTGTCCAGCAGCACCGGGGAGGGACCTGGTTTGCATGTGACCTGGACACGCCCACGTAACCGGCAGGTGCTCAACAAGAACCAAACGCCTCGCGAGGCAGACTTTGAAGGCCGTCGCAAAAAGAGACGCTCACGCTCTTTCGAGGTCACAGGTCAAGCGGTTAGTATTTGGTTTTCTTTTCAAACTGCCACAAGACACGTGAAAGGTGTCACATAATGTTGATGTCTGTAGATTATCAGTAGTCTGTGTTAACAAGAGGACTAATATGACTGCGGTGGCTTCTTTTGTGGTAATCATTTGTCTTATAAGGATTTAAGCCAGCAGGTTGGTACTATAGACTGTATATTAGAGTTATTCCCTCTGTGTACTATGTCACTACATATATGTCACTGGTATGGGTGTATGCCGTGTGTCTTGGAAGATGAGTTGATTAGTGTTCTTCATCTAACTTCCAGGTACCTCAAACCAAGACGAGCACAGCTCAGAGGTTTCGCCCTCTGGACAGCACATCAGACCCTCATCTCCACATTAATGTTCAACCCCAGGCCCCTATGCTACGCCCCCAGTACCGAGGGGTCCCTCCTCTCGCCAAAGTCAGGCCTCCCCACAGCAGCCAGCAAACAGGTAAACCAATTTCACTGCCTGTGAGGAGATAGTCTTCCTTAGTTGTAACACTGCCGAGCACGATCTGAGAAACCTCCTTATGTACATTTTATAATATGCAAAACATGTAAAGTGTATTTTCTACTGCTCAGCTTCACATGATTACACCCCTCAGGTATATACATGACATTATACATACACATAGCCTTTAAATAACTCATGTTCATGTGTCGCCAATCTTCAAGTATCATTCCTCTTTCACCTTTCGTCATCACTATACTGAGCATTCATTCTGTTATTCCCTCTCTTTCCATAGGCTCAAATGCTGAGTCCTCTACAACCAATATGAATCACCTGAAGCGGGCACCCCAGCTACGGCAGCCCCAGCCCCTCCTCTACATAACAAACACAGGCGCGGGCGCCCAGCGTATACGCAGACACTGAGTTTACACTGGCCGCGACTCCCAACACCAGCATTAACACCAAACCCAGCTGAGCCTGAAGGCCGAACCATCTTGTTATCAGAGATCTGAGAGCATGCAGCCTCAATAAATAAAAAAAAAAAAGAATTAATCCTTCAGTGACTGTCACTACGCAAAATTTGTAACAACATTGAGCCAGATAATTTCACACAGGTCTCACTGTGATGGTGCTGAGGGTCAAGTGTTTCCTTTTTAGCTCGCTGTTGTGCTGAATCACTTGTGGTATCGTCGTGTCAGGAACATATCAAGCTCATTATAAATGCAAGACTGTGCTTATGTTCCTTTGTTGTCAGTGCAATGGCTCTGTAATGTTCAGTGCTTATTATGAACAGTGAACGGTTGGTGTTAACGAGCCTCACAGCAGATACATAAAAATCCAAGGGAAAGTATGGATATGGGACAAAAGATTAGAAGGAGACAATATTACACAAATGCCGATGTTTAAAAACAAAAAAAGAGTAATGGCCTGCAGTAAAAAGGTTTCAACATCAATGTTTTTCGTAGTGAGTTTGTTTCAACATGACACACTGAAATTTAAGAAAAAAGAAAACTTAATCATCTTGATCATTGTGCTCTTCAAACTTAAAGGTCTCTGCCTTTTCTTACCCATAATACTCTTTAAGTGTCATGGTTGTGTAGATACACAGGATAGTACCACACAATGTTTTTTTGCAAATTACCTGACTGTTTCAATTAATTATTTAACTGTTGCCTTTTCCATTATTATTTTTTCATTCATATTGTTTTCATAATTGCAACTTTCTATTCTTTATTTTGTACATTTTTTTTTAATTTGTACCTAAATAAATTTAACCGAAGTATCCAAAAAACAAAGCATGTGTTTTTGTTGTGCGTTTACTTTTTTGCCTGCAAAGTCTGTAACATCTGTAACACTCGTCTATCTTGTGTAATATTCACATATGTCCACTAGGGGGCGCGCGAAGGCCAAGGCTGACCATTTAAATTGCAGTAAGGTATTTTTTTCTTGTGTAATCACGTTTTATTTTTATACTCCAGTGTTAATCCAGTCTTTGCATGTATCCCCTGGAAAATGCGGGTGACTTTAATTGATTTTGTATTTATAATTCCTTTTTTAAGTATTATAATCTTTTTAAATTGGTAATATTATGAATACTTTTTTTGTTTTTTTTCTCAAATGCTTATGTGTATCTTATAATTTCGCCATACCCTAAAACTGTAGCCATTACGCACACACACACACACACACACACACAGAGTTTACATAACAACTGGAGAATATATTTTTCACTGAGTCATGACCAACCAACACTATGCAGAAGGATGTGTCTCTATATTTGGACATTATTTAACCATCATATGTTCATGTATGGTTCAACCTGTAATAAAACTGGGGGAAAATCCACTAACTAACCTACCATACTGTCAAAACTTCTGCTTCCAGCTAAAAGCAGAGAACTGAATATATCGTCCAGATTAAAAGAAATTAGATTATTATAAAAACTCCTGGTCTTCTATATTTTACTAAATAGTTTTGTGGTAGAATCACATTTTAAAAGAAGAAAACAAATATAATCTTCATACATGTGTATTTGATCAAAAAAAAAAAAGCGAGTCGGAAATACCGCCCCCTGTGGGCTACTGACTACATTCTTGCCCAATAATAACTCGCTTGTTGTGTGATTGATGTGCGAGTTGACCAATGAGAGAGGGGATTACGGCTCTTGGGCGGTAGTGGACACAGCTGATTTGCAACCCGCTGAAGAAACAGCAGAGAAGAAGGGAAAATGTCGCTGGCTTCGACGCGGACCGTTCTAGGATCAGTGTCCTTTTAGGAAAAACTAGAAGGCATTTCGGTGAGTGGGACTGCCGTCACTAGTTGCACCCAAGGTTAGGGCTTGTGAATTTGGTGTGTCCCGTCCAGAAACGCAAAGGTCCGCCTCAGTTTCGCCAGCTTTGTGTAACGTTTCAGGCTCGCCCCACAGAGAAACACAGTGGGAGCAAGGCAGCCATGATGAATGTTAGACACTTTAAATGCGGACGCGTTGATGAAATTGGCGTCTTTAGCTGGTAGCTTTAAAAGTCAGGTGCGGTTGCTACATCAAATATCAGTTGTTTTTAACTTCTTCTAAACTTTCTGAAGTAAACTTTACTTTTTTATGTTACTTAAAAAAACTACTTTGCACATCAACGCTGGCCATCCGTGCGAGTGGGCGCGAGACTCAAAACTTATTAATCTCGATTGTTCCTGCCTTTCAAAGCTCTTATGAGTTTAATAGTTTTACGTAATCTTGAACAGAAACATATTAGCTCTTTGAGCTAAAATACGGATGTTTTAATTTGACTCCTCTCACAAAGCAGCCGAGCTGTGACCTTGCACCATCACTTAGCTGCTGTAAGGTGACGTTGTAAGGTGTAGCACGTGCTGATGATGCAGTCATTTCAGTTTCTAAACTGTACGTGAAGCCACAGGTCTCAGATTTTTTACATTTTATTTATCCTTTAATAATTTATATTACACATCTTCCACACTCAAGTTGATGGTTGGACGTAGGAGAGCATTGTTTTTTCTCTTATTGTCTCATTTTTTTCTCTGAGTCGTCTCCTTGTGTCCCAGATCTCTAGATTCACATATATACTCATTAGCCTGTGTATTATTAGGTCTAGTACCGGGTTGGAGCCCCTTTTCTCTGCAGAGCTGCCTTTATTCTTCAAGCAGTTGCTCAGGTGTACCTAATGAAGTGGCTGGTGACTGTATATGCATCTATAGCACTTTGGAAGTGGTATTGTGATTTTCCAGGGGCTCTAAAAATGTGATATTTTTATCACATTCAAAAATAACATAACCAGTATCACATGTAAGAAACTAAAACCAGGAAATTTGGAGGTCATTTGTATCTCCCGCACTCAGAATATTTCAATCATTAATCAATTTTCTAATACATGTCTTGAACAATTATTTGGCTTGATAGTTTTGATATAACCAGGTTACTTCCAACACTTTCCTAAAATACACTGACAAATGAAACTGTTTCTGTGATTGAGAAAAAAATTGGAAACATGTAAAAATGCAGTTCATTGAGTTGGCTTTTGTTTGTTTTATGACAATAGAAGTCTTCGTTTATTATGCACATTCCCTGCTTTTTGAATAATTCAAATGTTATTTGAATACATCTCACCTGTACATTTAACTCTGTGGACTGCAGCAAATGTACGTTATCCTATTTACTGACAGACTAATATGTCTTAATTTATCTTTTTCTTCTTATCTACAGAATGGCATTTCTGCTGTATTGTTGCCATGAGTGAATGCAAGTGTCACACAGCAGGACAAAACAAGGGAAAAGTAAAAGTTTAGGTTTTACCTGAACGATAAGGGAGTCAGCTGGCATATGTTCCCATTTTGTAAGGTCAGCTTTAACTATAACCATTTAAGCCCACAAGAGTATACTGTAACACTACATGGGCCTCTAAGGCAATCTGAACTGACAATTAAAGCCTCTTCTCTTCTGCTGCAGTTAGCAAGGTAATATTTCAACAAAGACATGGACCCATCTGCCCGAATGGTGAGCCTGGATAACCAGGGGAACGTGGTTTTCACAGTTGTAAAGCCAGTTATGGGCATATTTCAGGTGTCTTCAGAGCAAAATGGCAGTGCTCCACAAGGGAGCATGGGTCTACAGGGTTTAGCTGAAAGCACATTAGTCCTCCCTCAGGCACAAGGTCAGCCTCCACTAGACCAGAACCAGATGGAAATGAACACCATACAGCCTCATATTCAGCCTCTGATGCAGGTTTCTGCCCCAGTCCAGACTGAGAATTTACCTGCGAATCAGGATCTCCCACAAAGCTCAAGCGAAAATACAGAGTCCGCTAGCCAGATCGCATTTGCTGAGGTTTCATCACTCCTGGATCCCAACATGAAAGGATCAAAAGCTCGTAAGTAGCCAGTTGTTTGAAATCACACTATCTGAATGTTTTTCAATCTTATGGCTCCAAGTAAAATACAGTGCAGTGAAAAT